GAAACACAAAAATTGCACAGGATTAAGATATAATTGTAAAATAGTTATTTCAAACGAATTATAAATGTGAACAGGGAAAAGCATGGAAACAAACTTAGAATAACTGTTTTATAGCTGAAAAAAAAATTAGTTGGATTAAACGAAGATTGAAGGACTAAGAATCAGACACACAGCAAACGAAAAATGCTCTAAAGGAAGAAACGAGAACGAAAACAGACGAGGAAGAGAAAAATGGACGAAAACAAAGGGAACATACTAAGCTAGGTCCATGGTAGTTGTAGAGGTTTGAATAACCTCTTTTGAACACACAGCTCCGGCTTCTCGATGCATATTGCGAGGGCTTCTGCAGTACAAAGAAGTCGGAAACATATCGCTCTTGGTAGGTTTCTGTTGACTTTGTAAATCACTTTGAAAAAATCGGTTGAGATTTTGTGGGAGGTGTTGACCAGATGTTATCCATTCATTATTGAATTTCTGCCTATTGGCGAAAGACATATTTACACTAAAAATAAAGTCAAGCTCCACAGTGACCTTATTCACTTCCATTAGGTATTTACCTTTCTGTGTTGTAAAGTAATGACTTCACTTGTTTGCGTAAATCATATTTGTAATTTCAGTGGAGAGGCGCAAGTTATTTTAATAACCTTGTTCTGACTTGAATGGGTTTTATTCAGATATATTCAACTAGAATTCAGAATGCGTTTGATAATTGACTATTCATTGTATGTATCCAAGTAAATGTACACTCCTCAATCAAATGAATTAACCAAGGTTAAAATGTGCATGTAAATTATAGCAGTTGGTACAGATAACCTGTGTGAAAAGCCTGCTGTGTAATTCACCAAATAAATCAACTCTTATCGTATATGCGGCAAACATGAGGAAATAAAAGTTTGGTAATTAGCCTCCCTAAGAAATCTGTTCAGATTATTAGGTTTAATTCTTTGTGTTTACCGGGCTCTACAAGTTATAGATTATTCACTTAGGTTATCTAAAATACCCAGTGGATAAACTGTGAACTTTATCAAGTAGATATTAACATGGAAGAACATGACGTAGACAAAAATAGACGAATGGGTCATTTTATTAGACGGTCGTATGCTAATTTATTAAGGTATTGAACTGCTAAATCTTAGCAACTAAATCAGGGATTTCCTCCTAATTTGTAGAGAAAATCTTGGAATTTACTTTGAAGCCAAACACGGATAGGAGACAGAAACAGTCGTTTCTTTGAAGTTTTGAAGTTTTAGAAAAATAACCTATTGTCGAAGAATTTTCATTGAGCTATATCTTTTCAAATAGGTCACACTGAACACTTATGGTAGCAAACGTGTTAGAAGGATTCCAACAAGTGTGATTATTTGAGGAAAATTTGTATTACATTACTAGAAAGTGGTTTTCTTCATTGAGACACCGATTCCAAATATCAAATAATCATTCAGATAAATGAAACATGATTTATGTAGGAGTAAATCCTACAAGAACATCTAAGTAAAACAAATACAGTCACCTATCTTCCTTAATGATTTGCCTGTTAGATATCTCACACAGTGAAACATTAGCATTTACTGGACGACGATTTAAACACAATTCCTTGTTCATACTCATATCAATAACTCTTATCTCCTACCTAATGTACAACCTGGGAATTCATTCTATACTTTGAGTAGTTTGATAACATACAACATCGACATGATCAGGTATGTGAAGAAAGAGAACTCTGATTCACTAGACACCTGAATTATTGATAAAATGACTTGCACCACTAATCGAAAAATGTTCAAAACAAGTAGCAGCAAATATCTGATTCAAGTTCCATTTATTTTTCAGACACCAAAATAACAGCAGGAAAAGGTGAGTGGTAGTCAGGAATTTTTTCCATAACTACGGTAAGCCTATTAAAAAGCTGATTCTGTCCACTGATTATGAAATAAGTTTAGAGAAAATGCTGAAAATCAAAATTTATGTGGTGTCCACAAGTAAGGAAAATCGCATATTCTGAATGAATTGGCTTTCTATTCTGACCATTTCTATTTCTTTATTAATTTGCTGTCTGACGTGACATCAGCAAAGAAATTATGATAAGCAACTTTAGAGAATAGAAAGAAGTCCATTACATAATGGTAAATCTATCCGAAAAGTCCAGTTGTCATATTTTCCGCTGCATTTTGGAAGGTTGCAAATGGGGTTCGCATATAATTTCTATCAGTTTTCAATTCTAGTGCTTCGAAGTCACTTTTTCATAGCACATTCCGCGGACCTGTGTTGGGAAAGAACAGATTAGATTCCTTTTTCTGTTGATCGGAGCAAAACTGTATAAATTGGTCAGCTCTTCTATCAGTGTCGATTTTCCGTAATTGGGTCTTCCCAAGGACCCTCAAGCTTAACTTGTGAGTAACACATTCAGAAGTGTTCTTTCTTTCAGCTTCATTCCTGAGGCGAACCGGATAGCAGGATTGCTGTCATTGAATACTTTCAAATCACAGTTCTTGTCTCATATAATTGACATGCCATCCACGTGACTTTTGTAGAATTGAGGCCCGATTACAGCATATGTGAAAGCAATGCTCTCCATACTAGCCTACAGTAAATCTGCTCTCCACTTTGTGACATGATATACGCTTTACCTATCATCTGTAAAATGATCTAAATTGACTTAGGTCTCGGCGACACTTTGGCGTCGTTTTTTTCGCCTCGTTGATCAAATTCTCAGACAACTAAAAGATACAGAATGTTTAGCCATATGATGACATGAAAACTCGAATGGGACTCAAATGGTTCAAATTGTAATTATAAACGTATTTTTCAGGATGTTTTAGGAATTTATTAGCTGGTTCAGCCGTCTTCAATAAATTCTTTGATCTGGAATTGGCATTAGGACATCTATTTTTTCATAGCCACAGTAAGCTAGTCTCCGAATCGTCCGCGAACCCTCGATGAAAGTTGGTTTAGCGCACATGCTATTCGTGCAATTTCCTAATCTGTATAATAAATCCGGGATCGATGTTAAAAACTTACATTGGCAAGAAATGAAATTGGTTTTCTATAGGAGTATTTCTAATAAGCATATTTGAAAGTTTTCCATCTTTACCATTTTTAACGAAATCAAATGTCTGGATCTGCTCACCGTTTAGTTGCAAAATAGCCACAGAAATTCTAAACCTGTTAGACAGCCAAATTCTATATACCCAACTCAATACTTCGGAAGTCACCGACCGTATTTTAGATATGTGAATTTGTGACAAACACATGATATCATTCGACTCACAGTTTCTCTCCACAAGCTTTTAGAATGTAGAGACTTTATGCTTTCCCTGCAAGTATTTGGATCACAACAACTTAAATATCTGAATAGCGACTTTTAAGTTAAAAGAACTTCTGATGGATGCACTTTGATCATCCAAATAACAATTAATTGTATTATTTACAGAAAGCTATATCACTTGTAGGTCCGGTAGTTGCAGTCTGTTTCACGGCGAGTTTGGAAAATGGTCTAATGAAATCAACGGCAGACAGTTTTTTGTATTCATAGGAACATTGAGGATACTTTTTATCATTGATGAAAACAAATTTGAACAAAATAATGTCTTCCACGTTTTACATAGCTGTCTTGCTGACAGCTAATTTACAAATGAATTGGAAACCAGAAAGAAAATTTTTTCCTGGGCATTCAATTATTAAATAAACACTGACTAGGCTATGAACAGGTCATTATGCAGAAAGCTTAAGTGAGACGACCTGTCGACCATTTTTTCAGAGTTCACTACTTTTATTTAAACAGAAGCGGTTGATAACCTGCTATGACTAAGATCAAAAGAATCTGAAACGCTGAATCAGTTGATGCAGAGAGTAACTATTTTGAGGAAGACACTACTTGGTATTAGCTAACCCTACACCTTGTAGATGAACATGTACAGGCCAAAACAGATAAACAAACGCCGCATTTCTATGGCAAAGAAGATGCTATACATGATTGTAGCAATCAGAGTTGACGTATTGGCCAACACCCTGAATAAGAAAGTGTCTAACACCTTGAAAAGAACATTCTTTCTTTTACATTCCTATTAGTATTTTCATGCCGCCCGTTGTTCTTCGACAACCTTCAGAGTGAACTATCACATTTGACTACATCTATGGGTATCAACCTCTTCAGTTAGAGTGAGGCGGTTCGTTGCGTGTTTTGTCAGTCACAGAACGTTATCTCACCTGGCTGCAAAAAGGTTTGAAACATTTTTTACTAATATATCTTTTCTTTGAGGGACAAGTGGTAAGTGCATGTTTAGATACAGTCCTGTTTTTAAAAGAAACAAACTCAAAGCCAATTCAGCTTTATTTATTATGAAACTAGTCTTGAAGAAGTCCTGAAAATTTGATTTTGTGTGACGTGTACAAATAGAGAATTGTATATCCTAATTTAATTGGCTTGTGTTCTTATGGTTATTATTCAACGTTTACTAACTTTTCATTTGACACGACTTGAACATGCGAGCTAAATGTTACTGAATACGTTGTTATACATATTATTAAGATGCATCAGGTGAAACGTGTGTATAAATCTATTTTTCCTCAAAGATGTTGACCACCATACAGTGCATTAGTGAATACATAAGAGATAGTTTACAAAACACACGCAATTATCTGAAATCATGAATCCTAATACAGTGAAGAGCGGTAATAAGATTACAAAGACGACTAGGGATTAAAATAAAAGTATTAATGAAGGAGTAGAAGAATGAAAGAATCTCATAAAGTAATGATGATTCTATGCAAAAAGTTCAGCCATCGTATAAGACACGACTTAGAGATAGCTTCAAACTTTATCGGTGACGGTTTTGATTAAAAATGTATGTATGTGCTGACAGTCAGAGAATCAAATGCTGAGGGATAGGTGGTGTAACGTCACCTGCTTTAAAGTCTTTTCTAACCAAAGCAGAAATTCGAAAATTATGTCAAGCTGTGTGCTTTCGTGTGATGATGTGAAGCTTTTTATATGAAGCCCTATGCTATATACAAATATTGATGGCATTCAAGATGCTGCAGGTGAGTTGTCGATTAAATCCGTGATAGCATTTTTCATATTCATTCCAAAGATTATCGAAGGTTTTTCCTTTTATTTAATCATGTGCTCAATGACAAAAATTCTTCATACTTTTAGAATTAACAGGACCATTATTTACTTCAAGTAACGGTTTATCTCACGGTAACTCTTCCAGGAGAGAATGTTTGAATCCTATATGGATGATGGCTAATAACTCCAACAAAATGTTAACACTAAGAAAGTAAAGTGAACTTGGCTAATGTTTCTGATAATGAGTCTGAAGGTTGTAATCGAATCTTCTTTGATTTTATTCCATCAGACTAGGAATTCGCATGTTGAACAATTGTTCCTTTTTTAAAGGTTAAATTTTCTGAGCTTTATCCTTCATAAAGGTTCACGGAAACATGTGTTAACTAAAGTAAGACAGAAATAGACAAAAAGAAAATCCAAGGCGATTTCATCTATCAGTTAGCCACAGGTCGTAACCAGATATATTTTCACTCATTAGTTTGCAGGGATTTCATTGTTCAGAACTTAAGTTTAGTTGCAGAACACTAGATGTAACTGAGTTAAAGTTTCAGCTCCTGTGAAAAAAATGTTTGCTACAGTCTGCCTTTTATCGAAATATCCTGCTGGGATTTCAATATAATTTTATGATTTGGGCTACAAAGAATCTCAAAATGCCTAATCCTTAAATTAAGCTTGTATATAAATGCTCTCATTATATACGAAAAGCGTTACGGAGTTCTAAATAAATCTTTTAATATTTCGTCTTTATCATAATACTACTGCATCTCATTCTATTCAACACTAGTGAGATTATGACATTAACTGAACTTCAAATATCTAAAACAATTTATGAATTCAACAGAACTACTTAGTAAGTTGACTAATTTTCTATTATAAATATAAAAATTCATCTCTCAAACCAGTCTAATCTCGATAGCAGAATACGCAGTATAGTGCCACATGTTGCACAGTATTTTATCATGAAAAGAAAATTGTGAAAGAGTTGTTTCCAAGCTGTTCATCTGAGAGTCAACTCCTCAACTATTGAGGAAATCTCACAGGATGTCTAGTTTTCTGTTATTAACGATGAAAATTGCAGTCTGAAAACGTTTTTGACAAATAAATAGATTCTGAGTTATTTTCGCCGTTATCTGTTCATGATTATAATCATCTTCTTTCTCACTGAAAAACATTCTACAAGGGACAAGATTATTGAACATAACAGGATCACTATCCACCTAGGAGGAACTGAAACATATGACGTAGTTGACACAGATATATCTGATGACGAAATATTTTTTACGATGGTATCCAGACTAAATTAGTTATGATGTAACTGCTCTTTATTAGCAAGACTGCAGATAAATTAACACTGTTGGAATTAATGTAAACAGTAATCAAAGAATATCACCAGACGTTTCCTCTACAAATTCAAAAATAAGGTGACTAAATAGTATTTTTTATCAATAAATCGAAAAAATGAAGACATATTTACAGAAGTTACCAGTAGGATATCTGATTGCAGTTCACAAGAAAGGCCAACGGAACAAAAATAAGATATAATACACAGTTAAACTGAGCACATCTCTTTGATGAGGTTAAGTGGATTAGATTCGATAGCGGTCATATAATGAAGTACATCTTACGTTACCTTGCATTTTACTTAATTGATCCGTCTTACCTCCGGATGTTACCGATTGAAAGTGTCCAAAAATCAAATCAAAACACAAATCAAACTTTTTTCACAATCGCTGTGAAAGTCAGTCGAAGATGAGTGCTCTTAATCAGCTGAAATTTATTTCAAAGGTACGCAGAAGGAAAACAGCAAGACAATCAAATGAGTCAGCTAACAGAAGCCGAGAAATGACTAGGATAAGGCAGATGATAAAAGTGAAACAACGTGTTTCACTTTTGTCTTGGTGATCCTTGGATGTGTTCAATAATCCTGTCTCACATGGAATGTTTTTCAATGAGTAAGATGATTATTATAATTGTTCACAGCTCACGTTTAGAAAGGCCATATGGTGAAAAAATGCTTTCTATAGTAAAAGAATAAATTCCCGAAATAGATATATTGATTCACTACTGAATTTTAGAGGCAAATACTTCAGATGTCCATACGTTCCACCAAATATTCCAAACTATTGTCGTAACATAACGTGAAAATAGCTTAAAGTGTTAAGGTGGGAGCAATTACTAGACAATCATGACTTACAGATGTTTGAGGAGGTCGCAGCTGACATATTCGTGAAATCAGTGTGAGCATACTCATGGTGAAATGAATAAAGGTTTCTTTCGCAGTGCACTTTCATTCATTTATCAATTAGATTGCGACTGTGGATTTTTAAGGCTTATTAGGTCTAAATGCTATTGAGACGCGTGCTTTTGATAAGAGGGTAGATAAAGAGTCGTTCATTGGAATAAAACATCAAGTAACAGGGAGATACATTTGTTGTCAGAGAAGGCGAATAGTACAGCGTTGTGTAGGTAGGTGAGACACGCGAAAGGAACACGAAGAAAAACAATATGAAGGCCAGGAAAAGTACAAAACTAGGACGGGAAGGAACTCATGGTAAAAAAGGCATTGAAAGCTGAGTGGCCCGAAATCACTGTGTTTTTTTATTGAATACTATGTACCACCAATAAATTCACCTGGTGTCGAATCTGGCAACAACATTTAACAACACTAGAGCATCGAGTACCACACTGAAACAGCAGGGAAAACGTGCTGATAAAGAATAATTCGCAACGTATAATAAAATTCCTTTAGTTGAAAACATTCCATAATTCAAATTTCTTAACTTGTATGACAGTTCTATTTATGAAGTTCTAGAACATCTTTTCAGTTTGGTTTGGCTTTCGTCATACGTCGCCTTCCTTCCATTCTTCTCTTAGTCTTATCCAGATTGAATTTATTTTTTCATTAATTTAGAGAACACAAGTAAACCTATATATTTTTAATGCTCTACATTACATACGCTGAACAAATAACACTTAGGGAATGATGCAGTCATAGTCAGTTACCCGTTTGAGAACAAGGCACAAACTAGGCTGTGTATCCCACTCTGATTTTATGTAGTCACTCACTATCTCAATAAGTGTTTTTCAGTGAACATTGGCTCACACAATCATTCTTTACGAGAGAAAACATCTTCAATGAACCTATAAACATTCTGTGCCACTTTGAATGTCACTTCATCTAATTTGTTCAGAGGGTCCAGTATAAGCTTACACTGCGTCATTACGATAAACATGGAATCACAGACATTATAAAATGTTTTATTTGATTAACAGAACAATTTCGTAAGTGAACTACTTTCCTTTCAAACAGATAAACATTCACCTCGCAGAGCAGTCCAATCTTGATGGCAGAATAAGTAATATATTATAACATATTCTGTGGTATTGTACTATGAAAAGAATTTTGATGAGGGTTATTTCCAAGCTATTCATCTAAAAGTCAACGTCTAAACTATCGAAGAGACCTCACAGGACGTCATGCTTTCTGTAATTATCAACGTAAATTGCAGTCTGAAATCAGTTATGACAGATCAGTCGATAGTGACTCAACGATGTCATCACCCGCAGTTGTACGTCATGGGTAATATTCCTTTGATAAAATTATAATTACTTATATATATATATATATATATATATATGTTTACACTCTTATTGAAAGTTAGAGTGAACAAAATCAGGCTCATATCGGAATGCCTCTCATAGATTCGTTCAGATACATTATGATAACTGTTTATTTTTTATTTCTACCCACCAGTGAATATCATTGGCGATATATCTGTTCTTCTGAAAAGGGAATTAGGAAGTTTGGAGAGGTTTTCTATTATTTCTGTATCTGGAAAATAATCGGCTCATCTGTTGAAGGCGAAACGTACACAAATGTCTTTTAATTCATTTAAACAACTGTTGATATCAACATCTATCCGTACTTTTTATCACACAAGTGAGGGGATGTAAGTCAGTGCTGGATCAGTTGACCGGATTTCGTCCATTTAACCCGTATCATCTTAAATTGCAGACACCACAAGTAACGGTTTGTTCAACTGTGTCGTGACTTTTCAGCCTTGTTAAGTATTTTGAAGAAAATTTAACAAAAACTACCAAATCATCACAAAAATTATGTTATTAACCTAAGTACCAAACACTTTACTTTCAATAAAGTCTCTTCACACCTGTAAACTCCGTGAAACACAAATAAACCTAAGCAGATTTAGGCCAACATATTCCTGTGATCATATCAAATGCATATCAGCTATAATCAGTCTTAAGGACTCTCTAGAATACTGTAGGAAATGACCAAATGTTAGCAGTTATTATTTCCGTAATGACGAGCAGGTTGGCAAAAATTTGTTAAAATAGATCGAACACAGTACTAATCAACAGTTAAAACCATTTGGTAAGCCGTCATGAGCTCAGTCCATTGAGAGTATTCGCTATTTCACTCCCAGGAATTTAGGACTGCAGCAAATATGCGTAGTAGCCTATAAACTTTGTCAGTCGGAATCTCAATTGTTCTGTCTCTCATTATATATTTTAGTAAAGGAGAAACTACCCACGACAAGTGAGTAAACATTATGCGTTTCGTGTTAAGATTTCGCTTACACAAATATGTTAGTAAGACGGTGTTTCTAGTGAACTATGAATTATATCAAGCAGTAATAACATGGAGATATCAGCGGAAACATTTGACGTGAGATGACGTTTTGAGACTTCCACCAGGCGTTTGGTGACGAGTTTATATTTGCAGCTATCACTACGTGAGTGTTGAAAGATAAGTCAGTAAAGTACCTGTGTTGTATAAGTCACCAGAGATAAGTCTGGAATATGACATTTAAAAAACAATGTAATTTGTACAACGATCAGCTAGTCAGTATAAAACGAGTAAAAAATTCGTTTCGTAATGGAATGCTATAGAAAAAAAATTAACACCTGATAAAAAACGTGAAACGTATCAGTCAAACCTAACTCTCAAATTCAATTCAAGTTTTTTATTCACATGCCTGTCTGTCTGTCTGGATTCAACATAGAACTTGGCACCGAAGTGCAGCAGTTCGAGTTGCCACGTTCCAAATAGCACACAGAGGTAGACAAGAAGATGAGTGAAGAGAATTAATAGAGTTTGACAACTATAAGAGTGAAACAGAATGGGTAATGGTAGAAAGGAATATGAAAGATTACAGAGACTGAATACATCTGCGCTGGCCATTGACAACGATTTTGAGCCATGTCACCTATTGTCTCCAGCCATTGATTCCTAGAGTCCCGAGGGCCCCAACCCGGGAGTCTGCATCTCCCTACCTGACTCAGTTTAACTGTCAAGGATTTCATGGATTGATGCCATGTTTTTGTTTGGCCACCACTGGCTCTTTTCCAACCTGAACCTATATCAGCTAGCAATGCCCGTCGGGGGAGGCGGTGGTTAGGCATGCGCAGCACGTGACCTAGCCATCTTAGTCTATGTAACTTTATAGCCTCGTCGATTGATTTTCCCTCTTTGCCCAACACTCTACGCCTAACGTCAACATTACTTACCTTATTAAACCACCTAACGTGAGACAGAGATCGCAGACATCTATGATCGAAAGCAGTCAACCTTTTCATGTCTTCAACGCGTATTGGCCATGTTTCAGAGCCATAGAGAAGGACGGAGCGAACTGATGAGCAGTACACACGTCCCTTGGTTGATAACCGGATGTCACGCCTACGCCAGAGATGGTGTAAGTCAGCGAAAGCAGCTCGAGCTTTTCGGATCCGTGCTGAGATTTCATCGCCAATCAGTCCGTTGGTGCTAATACAACTTCCCAAATAGGTGAAGTGGTCAACATGTTCTATCACTTCACTCCCTATCACTAAGTTAGGAGTTGACGTGGTCCAGTCCTGTAGCAGCATCTTACATTTTGCAGGGGCGAATCGCATGCCAAACATACGAAGATTGCTGCTCAAGGTGTTCAGAAGACTCTGCATTTTGTCAGCATCCTCCCCTAACAGGACTATGTCATCTGCATATTCTAAGTCCATAAGATTATTCCCTGGTAACAAGTCGATTCCTAAGTCATTACGTTCAGTTAAGGATACTTCCATTAGCATATCTATGATGAAGTTAAACAGAAATGGGGAAAGTGGACATCCCTGTCGGACACCACTGGTTGTTACCAATTCAGATGACAATTCCCCATAAGCCCTTACACGACTACGTGAGTTTGAATAGAGTGCCTTGATTAGTGCAATGTACTTTCTTGGCACTCCCTTCACAGTCAGACATTGCCATAGTACCTTTCGATCCACGGAGTCGAAGGCCGCCTTCAAGTCAAGAAATATGACAATTGTTGGACGCCGAAAAGTGTGTCTATGTTCTAGAATCTGTCGAAGAGTGAAGATATGATCTATGCACCCTCTACCTGGTCTAAAGCCTGCTTGATTTTCCCTTGTCTGTTCCTCCCGAGTTCTGCTTAGTCTATGCATGATTACTGAGCCTAGGATTTTAGAGACTATGTTCGTTAGGCTGATCCCCCTATGATTATCACACGAGGACTTGTTTCCCTTCTTGAATATCGGTATAATAAGTGACTTACCCCAGTCTGATGGTACTGTCTCTGATTCCCAGACTTTGCCTAGTACCTCAGTTAATCTACAAACTAGTATGTCACCCCCATATTTAAACACCTCCGGAATAATTCCGTCGGGTCCTGCCGCTTTGCCTCGTTTCAAATTACTGATAGCTTTTGTAACCTCACCTACAGACGGCGGACCAGTGTCTATATCCCATTCGGGTGTGGTGGATGGCGGGGAGGTTCAGTGTGGCTGTAGGCAAGTTAAATTGTTCCTCAAAGTGTTCTTTCCAGCGTTCAAGGCGTCTATCCTGAGAGCTAATTAAGGAGCCATTTTTCTCAGAAATAGTCTCACTTATGAATTGCCTTCTCCCACCCGATTCTCTGATGAGTCTAAAGAGTTGCCTAGTGTTGCCTATCGTCGATGCTTTTTCCATCTCTTTTGCCTTTGTCACCCACCACTGTTCACGGTCCTTGCGGAGACTTTTAGTAAGTTTCCTTTTGTGCAGCTTTCGCTCCTCATTGAATTCGGAGCTCGCCGGAATAAGTCTTCTAGCATCTATCAGTTCGGATGAGGCAGTCGAAATCCAGTGGTTTTTACTCACCTTTGGATTTGCCTTATTCACAGCTTTTACAGCTGTATCTATAGCTGACTGAATATTCTTCCAGGCTTCTCCAGGGTGAGCACAGCTGTCGAATTCAGATATGCGTTTAGCTAGTTCTTCCTCAAATAGGGATTTAGTTTCCTGATCGAGCTGGGGACGTGATGGTTTTACCGCCAGCTGTTTCCTACGTCCGTTCAGTCGTAAGCACACACGAGCCCGGACCAGTGCGTGATCGGTATCTACACACGTGTTCCAGAAGGAGCGACAATCTCCTACCGACCCACGCCAACGATAGCTTATTGCTATGTGGTCTATTTGTGTCCAGCGTTGGTTTGATGATGGGGGTCGCCAGGTTAAACAGTGTCTCTCCTTGTGTTTAAAGTTAGTGCTTACAAGAAACAAATGATTATCTGAACAGAACTGTAGGAGACGGTCACCGTTGTCGGTTCGCTGGCACGGAACTCCATAGGTGCCACCGACATCCTTCTCAGATTGACACAATTTCCCTACTTGAGCGTTAAAGTCACCAGCTAGAACGACTATATCTGAGCGTTTAGCCTTTCTCACCAAACTAGACAGCTTTTGGTAGAACTCATCCTTCGTTTCATCCGAACTGCAGTCAGTGGGGGCGTAGGCGGAGATTACGAAAAGGCATCGGCGAGTAGTGCAGTCCTTTCTCCTTCTTACTGATCCGTTCAGACGGACAGCACACATTCGGCTATCTACCGGGATCCAGTCAAGCAATGTCTTTTCTGCCCTAGTACTCAAGCTATCCCTACGCCAGCTAATCCTCGTGAACTAGCTGTGGCATCTCCTGACACCCTCAAGGTGAATTTTGAAGATTCATCCTGTTGGCCAGGTGGGGTTAGGTGAATAACCACACTTGGGTCTTGTATGCGTGTTTCTGAAACACAACATACATCAATGGCTCGAGATGCCAGGGTCTTAGCTAGTGATGCTTGTTGTCCTATTTGGCAAAGTGTCCTAACATTAAATGCTCCTATATGAAATTGGTGGCGTGGCTTTAGGAGACTATCCGTGGTGGTTTTTTGGCTTTCGTCGTTTTTAGTGGACACAGAGTGAAGAGGGAGTGAGGAGCCATCAAGTAGAGGAGTTGCATCAGTGGAAGGAAGGCAAGGTAATAGAGATGAAGATGAAGACAAAGATAAGTGAGGATTAGAGAGGTTTTGTGTGCATTTCGGATTGTGAGGGCGATTGTTACTTCCCGGCTGCCCACACCGTGGAAGTTGGTTGCGTGACCGCAGAGCCCAGGGGACAACTGCTTGAGGCCGGTCACACGCGGCCTGTTTTTGTTTGTTCTCTTTTGTTTGGTGTGCCTCAGTAGCATACTTATCACTCCTGCCCTGTGACACGGCAGCAGGAAGCGCGGTCGTTGTTAATCCGGGCCACGGCCGATCCGGCATGAAATTTTGTGAATTTGTTTGGATCATGGTATTGGATTGGGTAGCTGCTTTTTGTTTAACCGCTATCCAAACAACCTGCCTGGCATGGTAGAACCTCAAGAGACATAAGTCTCAGCCAGTATAGCTTGATTAGGTCATTGCGGTGTTCAAGCCCGACCACCACGTCAAGGTAGCAGCTTTCGGTCGGGTTATTCACATGCATAAGCTGAAGCTTAGTCTTCATCACAAAAGCATGAGCGAATGAATCTCTCTAGGAATAGATAAACACGCTTGATGATTTTTTTCGACCATATGTAAATTTTACTTATATCAAAGAATATGGTGACAAAGCCTACATTAATTAAGGAAGAACGTCTTTTGTGTGGCGTAGGAAAGGGAGTTCAATCTTATGCTTGGAATCTACAATGCTGTGCAATAGTTGGAGATCATGTTTCCTGATTTCGATCTCTAGAAAAAATCTACTGAGAAGACAAAACTTTCGTTCACTAACGTATTGTCTTACTTCTTTCGATTTTGACTATCCCAACACGCACAAATATCACCAAGGTGATGATGGAAAATATGCCATAATATATCGAACTTCTGAGAGTGTTTTTCGAATAAATTTGCGGGTTGCACTGCATTTCAGTGGATGAAGTTTACAGAAATGAGTGCTGTCACAATCATGACAGTGTTATTTTACATGTTGAAAACTCATTTATTTGTCTGTTCAGATTTCGGATATTTCGACTTTTTGGATGCAAATCCTGAAAGTGAAACATTCAGTGATGAATATCTCCATCGCCTTCATAGCTAACTGCAGTCGTCTGTGTAGAGTTAGCTTCATTGGTTTGTCCAAATTTATTCAGTACAACACTAGATGTGAAAAACAGGTTGCCTATGCCCATCAACAAGACAAATATTTAAAAATGATGTTTTGTCACATTTTATCAACAGTTTTCGCACAGGGAAAACAGTGTTTAACAAATAGTCAGCTGTGGAAAATAAATATAAATAATGAAAAGTAATCATATTGCCCCAGGTCAAATTCTTCATAGACAATCGATGTTTAGTTATCTCCTGTTCATATAGCTTTTCCAATGTTATTAAGTATTCTTCAAACTCTGTTAGTTGTTTTGCAGTTTCTAAATTAACTGGCTAAGTTTGAGCGTTTAAAATCTACTAGTCTTTCAAAAATATTTTACAACAGCAAATTTTGTTCAATCCACTTGAAAGCTGTAGAGACAGTTACAGTTTCAAATGGAAAAAGTAAGTTTCGTTTGAACATACGTTTGATATTTCTCTGTGAATGGAGATTCCTTACAAAATTATCATTTAGAAATCTTTGAAGAAAATCGCAGCTTACATACTCATGAAACCAAGATGTGCACACTCATGATCAAGGAAATAAAAGATTCTCTAGCAATCAGATTTTGACTGTGGATTTTCCTGGCTTATTAGGTCTAAATGCTTTTGTAGCGAGTGCTATTGACATGATTTATCAATGGTGGATAAAGAGTCGTTCTTTGGAATACATTTGTTGCCAGGGAAGGCAAATGGTATGGCGTTGTTGAGGTTTATCGGAGACTCGAAAAAAAAATCCGAAGAGAAACAATATGAAGGCTAGAATAAGTACAAAACGAAGATCTGTTCAAATGGTGCGTTGAACATATGGTGTGCATAATTTGGCTATACAGAGATATGAATTTCCAAATAAACATCAATTTATCAAGTCTTTCGTCTTTCACCGTCGCACTTTTGATTCATTTTACTCACAATAATTTAAATATATATATATATATCAGGTATGACTTATTATTTTACGATTCGTTCAGCGATGGCTTGCTTACATCCCACGATTGCCTTCATTGCCATCCAAAAGAATGCATGGCATTACCTCCATTTTCCCTATTTCAGCTGTTGAATTACATGCGAATGTACTCATCTACATTTTACATTTGCTTTCATCCACCTGCTGTGGAGTTTCCGAAGACGACAAAAAAATACCTTGGGGGATTATCTTATATCGTGTTACCAATTCGTGTCGAGTAAAGCAATTATTATCATTGTAACTGTGTATTATTTTGCAAAATGACCTTCTTTAAGGTGAATAATTTTCGAGGTGATTTTCAGTGGGAAGTAACTCATCGTAAGAAGTGCACTGAAAGCTCATTGGCCTAAAATCCCTGTTTATTCTCTGGTGAATACAATTCATCTCCAGTGGATTCACCTGATATCGAATCTGACACCAACATTTAAGAAAGGTAGATCATTGACTATCCCACTCGAACAACATGAAAAAGTGATGGTAAATAATAACTAACAATAAACCTACAATTACCTTCATAGCTGCAAGTACCATTACATCTGAAAATGGGAAGAGTAAGTTTCGTTTGAACATTCATTTCATATTTCTCTGTGAAGGAATATTCCTTACAAAATAATCCCAGGAGACATATTTGTGCAATCTAAGTGAGCACACTCATGGTCACATTTATAAAAGATTCACTAACCTTTAATGCACTGGTATCCCAACGTGATTTGAAATCAATGCTTTATTGTTTGGTGAATATAAATCAACATCAATGATTTCACCTGAGGTCGAATCTCGCACCAACATTTAACAAAACTGGCGCATCGAGGTCCTCACTTGAACAACATGGAAAAAGTGCTGATCAAGAATCACTTACAATGAATAATAAAATCCGTTTCATTCGAAGCATTCCATAATTCAAACTTCATAACTTGTTTGAGAGTTCTATTTATCAAGTTCTACAACTAATTTGCATTATCGTTTGGCTGTCATTATTCGTCGCTTTCCTTCCACTCTTCCCTAAGTTTTATCCAGATTGGATTGTTTTGCATTAATTTAGAGGCCACAGGTAGACTTATATTTTTTAATGCTTCTTAGTACACAAGCTAAACAAATAATACTCAGGGAATTATTCAGTCGTTGTCAGTTTGTTGAATTACTTCGAACAGCATACTGTGTACTAGCTAAATATGTAGGTGTATCGTCATGAGCTCAGTCACTTGAAAGTATTCGCTATTTCACTTCCAAGTATGTAGGACTGTAGGAAATATTCGTAAAAGAATATATACGTTGTCAGTAGGAATCTCATTTGTCCTTTCTCGCATTATATTTCAGTAAAGGAGAGCCCATCTGAGACAAGTGAGTGCATTTTACTCGTTTTTTTGTAAAAGTTTCTCTTACACAAATATGTTAGTTAGAGGAGGTTTATATTAGCTCAGATAGTTTTACAAGTGAACTATGAATTATATACAGCTGTAGTAACACGTAGTTATTAGAAGAAAAACTTGGAGCGAGATGATTTGATAAAACTTTCGCCACGGGTTTGGTGGCCAGTTTATTTGCGGCGCTATAACTACTAGAAATGTATTAAACGTCAGTTGACGATCAGTTGTTCAGTATAAAACGAGTGAAAAATTCGTTTCATAATGGAACGCTAAAGGAAAGACATTAAAACGTGAGAAAAAAGTGAAACTGATAAGTCATAAAAGTGGTGAAACATAACTTGCAAATTCAAATCAAGTTTTGTATTTTCATGCATAAGCTGAAGTTTAGTCTTCATCACTAAAGCATGAGCGAATGAATCCGCTATCTCAACTTGCACAAATGTCACCAAGATTGCTGATGGAATTTGTATGATAAAACATCAAACTTCGAAGAGCGTCTTTCAAATATGTTTGCATGTAAGACTGCAAATCAGTGGATATAGTTCACAGAAACGAGTGCTATCATAATCATGACAGTGCTATTTTCTCTGTTGAAAACTCATTTATTTCTCTGTTCAGATTTCCGATGTTTCGATTTTTGGATGCAAATTCTGAAAATAAGACATTCAGTGATGAATATCTTCTGTTCCTTCAAAGTAAGGTGAACTCGTTTGCGTAGAGTTAGCTTCATTAATAATAATTAATAAAATTTTCCTTCACGTTCCCAGTGGAATATAGGGCTCCCAGCTAGTAGCCTGAAGTTTCTGTAGCAGTGTTTATTTTACAGGATGGGGTTGCTAGCCACATGCCCAACCTTTCCACTTTACCAGCATTATTTCTGGCTTAGCGAGGTAAAGGAGTGCGTCGGACGGGGATCGAAACCCGGACCATGTGCATGGTCGGCGAGCGTCCTAACCGCTATACCGCCGACGCCTGGTGCGAGTTAGCTTCATTGGTTTTTCCTAATTTATTCAGTGTAACACCAGATGTGAGCCACCTGTTGCCTTTACCCATCAACAAGACTAATATTTATAAGTGAGTTTTACTCAGGATGCACATAGAAACAAAGTAGATAATACGAAACTATGTAAGAGATTTAAGTGAATACAAGAATTATAAGCAATTAAGGAACAGGCGAAGAAACAAAATTAAGTCATCAAAATAAAAATAAAAGCTCAAAACAAATCAAAACATTGTTACCATGAGAGTAGAAGTGGTTGAGTAATCTTCTTTTGTATGCACAGCTCCGGTTTTTCCATGTGAATGGCCAGAGCTTCAGCGATGCAAAGGAGACGAAACCGTATTGCCTTTGATATGTTATTCTTGACTCTGTAGATTACTTTGAAGGAGGCGTTCGTTGAAATGCAATGATCAGTGTTGACCAGGTGTTCAATTATCGCACTCCTTATTGCACCAGTATTGCCTTTTCGCAACCATGCTGGATAATGTTCTTGAATTCTCTTGGACAGGATGCGCGTCGAACGACCGATGTACCTGGCTCCACAGCAGCAGGTGAACTGGTATATGCACATAGAAGTGGCCAGATGCGGGATCTTGTCCTTGAGGCTTCTGCAGATCAGTGGGCGACTGGAGAACACTATTCGTAGCGTTGCTGCAAAGAACGTTCTTCTCAGAGATGATGTGATCCTTCTCTTGAGAATATCGCTTGCTAAATCTCCCTTGAAATCCAAATTCATGTAGATTTTCTTTTTAGGCGCAGTTAAAGTTTCGTTTTTCCGATATTCTCAAGAGAAGGATCACATCATCTCTGAGAAGAACGTTCTTTGCAGCAACGCTACGAATAGTGTTCTCCAGTCGCCCACTGATCTGCAGAAGCCTCAAGGACAAGATCCCGCATCTGGCCACTTCTATGTGCATATACCAGTTCACCTGCTGCTGTGGAGCCAGGTACATCGGTCGTTCGACGCGCATCCTGTCCAAGAGAATTCAAGAACATTATCCAGCATGGTTGCGAAAAGGCAATACTGGTGCAATAAGGAGTGCGATAATTGAACACCTGGTCAACACTGATCATTGCATTTCAACGAACGCCTCCTTCAAAGTAATCTACAGAGTCAAGAATAACATATCAAAGGCAATACGGTTTCGTCTCCTTTGCATCGCTGAAGCTCTGGCCATTCACATGGAAAAACCGGAGCTGTGCATACAAAAGAAGATTACTCAACCACTTCTACTCTCATGGTAACAATGTTTTGATTTGTTTTGAGCTTTTATTTTTATTTTGATGACTTAATTTTGTTTCTTCGCCTGTTCCTTAATTGCTTATAATTCTTGTATTCACTTAAATCTCTTACATAGTTTCGTATTATCTACTTTGTTTCTATGTGCATCCTGAGTAAAACTCACTCATCAAACTATTCATATTATTATTGCATAACTTCTTTTAATATTTATAAATGATATATTGTCACATTTTATCTACAGTTTCACCACAGTCAGCACGGCTGACAGGGAAAATAGTGTTTAACAAATGATCAGCTGTGCAAAATAAAGAAAAATAACGAAAAGTGATAATATTGCATCTGATCAATTTCTTCATGGACAATTGATGTTTATTTATTACATGTTCATACGGCTTTTCCAATGTTCTTAAGTATCCTTAAAACTCTATTAGTTGTTTTACAGTCTTTATATTAATTGGCTAAATTTGAGCGTTTAAAATCTACTAGTCTTCCAAAAATTCTTTATAGTAGCAAATTTTGTTCGATTAACTTGAAAGCTGTAGCTGCCATTGCACCTCAAAATGAAAACAGTAAGTTTCGTATGAATATACGTTTTATATTTCTCTGTGAATGCAGATTTCTTACAAAATAATCATTTAGAGATGTTTGGGGAAATCGCAACTGATATATTCGTGAGGTCAGTGTGAGCACAGTCATGATCAAATCACCAAAGGTTTCTCTCGCATTGTACTTTCATTTATTCATCAATTAGATTGCGACTGTGGATTATGCGGGCTTATTTGGTCTAAATGATATTGTGGCGAGTGCTATTGAAAAGTTATATCATTGGTAGATTAGGAGTAGTTAATGGCAAAAAAACATCAAATAACAGGGAGATACATTTATTGTAAGAAAAGGTAAGTGGTCCGACGTTGTGGAGGCACACGGGAAACGTGAAAGTTATCCACGACGAAAGCCAATATGAAGGCCAGAATAAGTACAAAACGAAGATCTGTTCAAATGGTGCGTTGAACATAAGTTGTACATATTTTGGCTATACACAGATATTAATTCCCGAAAAAACAATAATTTATCCACTGGTACACTGTTGATTCATTTTACCCACAATAATTTAAAAGAGAAAGATTGAGCGAAGAAATATTTACTTTTCAATTAGATCCTCATCTCTGGCTCTACTCTAATATATATAGCATTTTAATTACAATACACAACAATTTGCCAATCAAGTGGCGATATGTTTGTTAACAATAATTAGTCGGTGTCAAAATGTCAATGGGGTGATAATTAACGAAGAAAAATTAATATCTATAATTAAGAGGTGGAAATGGTTACAACACGTGGATTGCATAATGCATAATTTTGGAAAAATGAAGAGCAATTAAGGAATAAGCGTGTGCACAGGTTGATTACGTAACAGATTGTTAAAGAAAATAAAACAATTTGGACAATGATAATTTGTAACTAAAGTTGAAGTGGTCATAAGAATAAAATAATTTTTACAAGGATAACACGTAATTAAAGATGAAGTAGTCAGAAAAATAAAATAATTTGGACAATTATAGTTTTAAAAAAGAAAAATTATTCTAGGGGGAGGGTGATGGAGTAGTCCGGTTTATACAGTCATGTAACGATGGCCAAGGTAAGGAAAGTGGCTGTACAAATTTCTTCTGGACACACAAGTTTGGCTTCTTCAGGTGGATTCCTATTGCTTCAGCTGTATGTAGAAGACGAACTCGTAAAGCAAAATTAAGATTAGTAGGAATGCGATAAATAATTTTAAATGCAGTATTAACATCAACCTTATGCTCACTATCTACAAGGTAGGCTAAAATAGAGCTACGAATAGATTTAGTTTGTCCCTTGCTTAACCATGCCGGATGATGTTCGGAAATACGATGATGAACCTGCCTAATTGTTCGCCCGATGTAGCTGGCTCCGCAGCTGCAGTCAAACTGGTAGATACACATAGAAGAGGCGAATTTAGGTAGTTTATCCTTATTACTCGAACGTAGGATAGGTGTGGTCGTGAAGAGACAGCGTACCTCTGCTGCATAATAAGCTCTTTTAACTGCATTCCTCAGTCGCTGCGTTATTATTTCGCTGATGTTGTCGCCGAGGAACTGAAGTTTTATGAACAGTGGTTTTTTCGGAACTGTTGCCATAGTCACTGTCCTAGGTGATGAATTCATATTTTTCTCAATAAACTTATCTGGATAACCATTCTTTCTAAGTAATTCTCTAATAATCTCAAGCTCCTCATTGAAGCAGTCGTCTGAACAGATTAACCTAGCTCTATGAACCAGACACTTTACCAGGTTGCGTTTATATTTCAAAGGTACAAAACTCAAAAAATGAGTGTACTGTCCTGTTGTAGTAGGTTTCCTGTACACACTCCTTCTTAGTGTGCCATCTTCTTTCCTTGCCATGAAGACGTCTAGGAATGAGATACAGTTATATATATATATATATGCATCAGGCATGACAATATTTTATGTTACGTTCGGCGGTCGCCGCTTACATCCCACGACTACCTTCATTGCCATCCAGCAGAATGCATAGAATTTCGTCTATTTTTCTCATTTTATAGGTTGAATTATGTGTAAATGTAATCATCTATAGTTTTAAAGATTCACTTACAACGAAACTTACAATTAACTTCAAAGCTGTAGGTACCATTACACCCCAAAGTGGAAAGAGGAAGTTTCGTTTCAACATACGTTTGATATTTCTC